TTGTCCCTGCAACAATGAATAAATGGAAATTCAAGTTCTCTGTAAACTTTCACTAAAATCTCAGTTAAAAAAAAATAAAGACTAGAAAACAAGTGAACTAAAAAAAAAAAAGAAAAAGAAAAAGAAAAGAAGAAGGCCTTCTCTTTCAATGTGGCTGGAACTGGGAGATAACAAAAAAGAAGGGAAGTGCCTATGTATAAAAACTGATGATTGTAACTCAAACTCACACATCAATAAAATGTTATTCATAACACATATGTGAGGAATCTAGGTGAATTGCATTGTTTTCAGAATTTTTATGGATATGAAATTAATTGAAAATAAAAATTTAAAAAGAAAAAAAATGTCCCTTTTTCAAGTATCTTTTCAGATAAAGATCCAAAGATTCACCTGAAAATGCCTGTAAAATTATTGCTTTTCCTCCCTCTAAGTTAGGCAGATGAGACTATAAAAAGGCGATTTGCTAAATATATTACAGTTTTGTGATGCTCCCGCTACAGCGATTGCGTTTCTGCGGGCCGACCCATGAGGCTCTCTTACTCTCTGGTAGCCTTTATTTAACCTACAACACATTATAGGAAAACAAGTCAATCCAGTCTAGAGAACAACATTCAGGGAAACAAAGTATCACCACCTTCTTAGAACATGGAAATAAAAAATAATTCCATCAGAACTACCTCGCCAAGGAGCATGTTGAAAGCCCAAAATAGTACCATTTACCAGTGTCAGATCCTGTGGAAGCATCAATGTCACTTATCACAAGGAAACGAGTTTCAAACTACTATACCTTAAAGGAGTACATGGGTAAAATACAGAGAAATACAGACAATCGGTGAGCATAACTAGGCTTGTTACTGGAGGAAGAATGTTGCAGTGGCCCCCCCAGGCCTGAAAACTCCTTGAAAAGAGCCATGACAACGTGTAAGGTAACTGACCAAACCAGTCACTACCGGATCCAGATAAGGCTCTGCCCCTGCTCACCAAAGCCCACACCCAAGTTAATTAACAGGAATTGCGCTCCAAATTCCGAGCAAAATACTGAGCAAAATCTTCCCTAATCCTCCCTAAAAGCCGTAAATCCTCTCCTCATTTTGACCTTCTCCTCATAGCTGGCAGTCACTTGCCCCTCTCAGACCACGCAATAAAAAGCCTTTTCCTTTCTTGGGACCAGCATCTTTCTTTCTCTCTTGCTTTCAACTCTTTTTCTGACAGTTACATCTAAATGAAAAATAATTTTTTGTTTGTTTGTTTGTTTGTTTTCAGGTTTTTATTGGGGGCTAGAGGGGTGGGGCCCATCCTCGGAGGTGCTCAGTTTCTTCAGCCACTCCAGGCTGGGACCCAGGGGGTCCTGGGGGTGGCTGAGCACGTCAGGCACGTTCCCATCATCTTGGAGGGGATCGTTGATCATGGAGACATACTTGGTGTAGGGGCTTAACGAGGGCAGAATTACAGCGAGTTCCGCGATGGTGTAGGACACGACCAGCACCAGCTCCTTGGCCCAGGCATTCTTGAGGAAGGCTGCGAGTCTAGTCGCCAAGGTGGCCTCGGCGGCGGCAGCAACAGGAGCAACGAGAACGCTGAAATTTTTTTTTAAAAAAAAGAAAAATAAATAGTAGGACTCTCAACTTCTGCCAGAAGCAGTCAGGAGCTGTGTGAAAAAGCAGGAGTGGTCTGTGTGAGAGCAGGGAGTTTGAGTTGAGGAAGACATTGTTGTGGTGAGCCAGGCCTGAAGGCCCATCTGTAGGGTTTATAAACGTGGATTCACAGTATGAAATCCTGAGTGTTTTCACCAGAGTCAGAACGGTTAAAAGCTGGTTAATGTTACCTATTTGTTCTCTGTAAATTCTCTAAAGCAAGGCTCAGAGTGCCATAGTTTCTTAAACTTGGTGATTTACACACAAAAAAAAATCCCATTTGAGTCCATGATCTTATCAATACCCATACATCATATATAATACAAATGGAGGTGTTATGATAAAAAGAGTAGAGATAACTGATTCTTGGGGAAAGGACTTCTTCGCTGCCAAGCCGAGTCAGGCAGGCAACAGCAAGTCTCTTCATCCTTCTTGGGATTCACTTCCTTTGGAACAGGAAGTCTTTGCTTGGGGAGCCTTCCTTCTATTTCCTCATTTGGAAATGGTTCTTGACTGACCTAGACAAACAGATCTGGGTAAAAAGCCATTTTGGCAATCCTAACAGTCCTAAGCTTGCACCCTCCCTCTCTTCAGTCCAGGGAGATCAACAAACGAAAGTCCCACATTCACTCTCTCTCTCTCCTCTCTAAAAATTTTCCACCTTCTACAGGGTGCAGTCTGAACCAGTTTTCTATCACTATTAGTGGAAAATATCTGAGTTTACCTTATCTGGTAAGAGAAGGTAAGGTAGGTTCTACACAGGTTCTCTGGTAGGTTCTATACAGGTTCTGGCTTTCTTGGATTTTACTGTACAAGCTTTGGGGGGGGGGGGATCTGACTCATGGGCATTCCATGTGTACAGAATAGAACTTGTCCACAGCTCTCTCAAGGCTGTGACCCTTTGGAAGCAGTTCAGCCGGCCTGTCCTCGGAGGGCTTCTGTGTGGGTTCAAATCAACCTTAACCAGGGATTCATTCACCAGAACCAAGCCAAAACCACTTTGGAGACTATAAATCTTGGGAGGAGTTGGCTCTCCTTCATCTTTTTTCTTTTCTTTCTTTTTTATTATTAACAGGTTTATTTTTCCAAATGAGCAATAGACTATTTAGAAATAAGGAGATGTCCAATGACATATCTTAAAATGGCAAGCCTAAAAGTTTGAACTCTAAATGATAATATGGATTGAAGCTCAACATCAGGAAGACAAAGATTCTCATCTGGGCGAGTTGGCAGCACCATGATGGATAGAGAAAAGATTGAGGTTGTTAACAATTACAGCTTCCTCAGCTCCACAATCAACACTCTTGGCACCAACAGTCAGGAAATTAAAAGACCAATTGCATTAGGTAAATGTACTGTCAGGGCCTTTCCAGAATACTGAAAAGCAGCAATGTCAGTCTAGAGACTAAGGTGTGCCTGATCCAGGCCGTGGTCTTTGCATGACCATAGCATTATCTGCTATGCATGAGAGAGCTGGACAATGTCTAAGGATGACTGACTGAAGAAGAATTGATGCCTTTGAGTTGTGGCTGGAAAGAATCTTGAACATACCATGAACCGCCGAGAAAACCCTCTTGGAGAGGATGAAACCAAGTTTCTCCTTGGAGGCTAGGATTTTGAAGCTCTGTCTCACATACTTTGGGCATCTGACCAGGAAGGATTGATCCTTGGAGAAGGACATCATGCTCAGAAGGGTGGAGGTGTGCAGGAGAGGAAGACCCCAAATAAGATGAACTGCTACAGTAACTAGGACAATAGGGATGGGTGTGTCTGAATCAGTAAGACTACCTCCTCAAGATAGGGCAGGCTTCAGAGCAGTTGTTGTCTATAAGGTTGCTATGAGTCACAGGCAACTTGATGGCACATAACAACAAACAATAACAACAACTTGAAGAAGAAAAGATAAAACCACACAATAATTAAAGTCTGAAATAACCATCCCCGCCAATATAACACAGACAGGATGAAGGGTGACATGGCAAAACCAGACACATCTCCCCACAAGGTTTTCATTAGGGTGTTCTTTTGGGGTTGGTTTTTTTTTTATTGTTTTAAAAATGCTTACATACATTAAATTTATTACAATAACTCTTTGCCATTCTAAATAATAATATTTTATCCTTTAAAGAGAAGAGTAAGGAAGAGAAGAAAACATCAAATCCTTCTTGAAATTTAACACCAAGTCCATTGAAACCAAACAAGTGATGACTTTCCTTGTTCCCTTGCTTTCAAAACAGTATGAACACACAAAGCAGAGTTGGGGGCGGGGGTGTAAATAATCAACTTTACAAAGCCCTCCTAAAGCATGGTAATACAGCTATTGTCTTGTTTCCATGGTTTATAACTGAAACATGAAATGGCTTAGTGGGCCCTTCTTTGTTGCCCAGATGGTCTAGGAAATTTAAACTGTTGACTTTCAATTAGCAACTGAACACTGTACACACTGGGCCCCAAGGGTTCTTTGTATAATATGTGTTGTTGTTATATGCCATTGAGTTGACTATGACTCATGTTTTTGTTGTTGTTGTTATGTGCCATTGAATAGCCTTTGACTTATAGCAACCCTATAAACAATAGCTCTGAACCTTGCCCTATTCCAAGCCAGTCTCACTGACTCTAACACACCTACTTCTCCTAATCCCAGTTACTGCATCAATCCATCTCATCCAGCATCCTCTCCTGTGTGGTCCCTACATGTTTCCAACCAAGATGTCCTTCTCCAAGGACTGGTCCCTCCTGGCAACATACCCAAAGTATATAAGATGGAACTTAAAAATTCTTGCCTCCAAGAATCTTGGTTTCACCCTCTCCAAGCCAGATCTGCTTGTTTTGTTAATGGTTCATGGTATGTTCAAGACTCTTCTCCAGCATCACAACTCAAAGGCATCAATTCTTCTTCTGTCATCCTTAGTCATTGTCCAATTATCTGATGCATAGCAAGTAATTGTGAAGACCATGATCTGAATCAGGCACACCTGAGTCTCTAGAGTGACATCATTGCTCTTTAGAACTTTGGTGAGGTCCCTGGCAGTAGATTTTCCTAATGCAATTCATTTCTTTTTTAATTTCCTGACTACTAATGCCAAGAGTGTTGTTGACTGTGGAGCTGAGCAGCTGAAATTGCTAGCAACCAAGATTCATTAATAATAATGGGTGACTGGAATGCAAAAGTTGAGAACTGAGAAGAAGGATCAGTAGTTGGAAAATATGGACTTGGTGAAACAAATGAGGTTGGAGATAGAATTTTGTACAATCAATGGGTTATTAATTGCAAATACTTTTTTTTTTTTTTTGCAAGCCAACGCAGCTTTATTGTCAACAGAAGCTATAGGACAGAATTGGGGGACATTCTTTGCCTCATAGTGACTATGGAGAATCAGTGTCTGTTGTCTGTGGGAGAGGTGGGTCTGGGAAGTGAGAATATCTGGGGCCACCGTGAGGGGCTGGGTTACTAGAGACAAAATCTAAGCAGTTGGCCTGGAGCATGGAGTCCGATGAAGGGCTGCATGTGGACCCCTCCTGGCTCATCTGCAGAAGGGCTTTGAGAACAACCATCTCAAGCTCACTGAGCCAGTTGGTGGAGCAGGCAGAGGAAGATGTGGGGACAACACAAGATGACATGATAGGAGGTGGGAGCAGCAGCTTCAAGGGATTCATCACTTGCTGGGGTGCCCTGTCCAGGTACAGAGGGACATGGTATCCACAGGGCAGCAGAGGGTCTGAGACAAAGACCTCTTCACAGTTTAACACCGGGATACCTGCATCCCTGGGTGCCTGCTCTCCGAGTTCTCTCCTGGAGGCTGCCTCATACAGTGGCCAAAAGGATGGATGACTCAAGGTTCGGTTTGAGAAGAAGCCTACCCCACTGCCAGCCCCCATCAGCTGAGGTCTTGCCTCATAGTAGGGGTCCCAGGGTTGTAGATTGGCCATCCATGAGGGGGCCAGACTCTGGGTCATCTGGGGGGGAGAAGGAGCTGGGGCTATTGGGGGTTGGTTGGTAACCAGGGTTTCTGGGGGCTGCTTGGTAGCCAGGGTTCTTGGGGGTTACTTGGTAACCAGGGTTACTGAGGGTTGCTTGGTGACCCAGGTTCTTGGGGGTTGCTTTGTAGTCTGAGTTCTTGGGGGCTGTTTGGTAGCTAAGGTTCTTGGGGGCTGCTTGGTAACCAGGGTTCTTGAGGGTTGCTTGGTAACCCGGGTTTTTGGGGGCTGCCTGGTAACCCGGGTTTTTGGGGGCTGCCTGGTAGCCTGGGTTCTTGGGGGCTGCTTGGTAGTCCCGCCTCGGGGTTTGCCAGGTGGCAGTTGCTTCCTTGAGGTCCTGGAACGTGCTGCGGATGGGAGCTGAGGGCTGTCCTGGGGGGCCGTTCCTGGCTCCCCGGAGGCCTTGTCCCCAGAGCCCCTGTTTTCGCCCTGGTTGGTGCCCACCGAGAGACCACATTCCTCCAACACTGCCTCCTTTCCCTGGGCTCGTGGCCGAGCGGACCGCTGGGGCGACGAGCAGCATTTCATGGAGGGAGGACAGGGCACAGGCTGGGCTCTGGCTCGCAGCCTTGGTGGTCTGGTGGGGTCTAGCCCCCAGTAACACTCCACCGCTTCTGCAAATACCTTTTATAAGAAACATGAGCGATGATTATATACATGGATTTCACCTGATAATTTGAAGAGGTCAATTGCATCTGTGGAAAGAATTATTGGAGAATCTCAGTATCAGCTGTGAAAACTAGGCCAGCTGCTGATTGTGGACCATCAACTACTCATATGCAAGTTCAAACTAAAGCTAAAGAATATGAAATCAAATCCACAGGAATCAAAATTTGACCGTGAGTCTATTACACCTGAATTTAAAATCCATTTCAGGAACAGATTTGAGGCCTTGAACACTAATGAACGAAGACCAGATGAGTTGTGGTAGGATATAAAAAAATCACTAAAAAAAAAAAAAATCCCAAAAACAATCACTACAAGACAGAGAAAGACTAAGTTGGATGCAGAAGAGACTAACTAGTATAGTAGAGCTCAGAAGAAATCAGGGAGTTAAGGAGCTGACAAGATTTCAAAGAACAGCTCAGGAAGACAAAACAAAGGATTATAATGAAATGTGCAAAGAGCTGGAGTTGGAAAACGGTCAGTCTGGCTTGGCATTTCCTAAGCTGAAGGAACTGTGACTCATGCTGACCCTGTAAACAACATATCAGAACCTTGCCTTCTCCTATGTCACCTTCTTTATGTCTTCCACGCCTGAGACCATTGTGACAGTCACTGTGTCAATCCAGCTTGTGGAGGGTTGTCTACCTTTCTTCCTCTGACCCTCCACCATTCCTAATTTGATATCTTTCCTCCATAAACCCCAAATCTGCCTTTGCCACGGAATTGAAAACAAAACCAGAAGTGTGTGTTTCATGAAAGTGTACCCTTGGTATAATTCCTTCAACTGGATAAATTACAAAACAAAGAAACTTTTCACAACGTCTGCTTTTCCTCACACAGGACAGATTTTCATGCACCTAAGCTTGCTTTCTTCTCATATTTCTTTTTAAATTTTTGTCTCTAGGGAGGGTTAAGATAAAATGGAAAAAAATTAGTTCATGTTTTAAATGGTATGCTTGAGCATATGATGTCTCACTGACATTGATTTTTAAGATTGAGTTTAGAATATGTGAAGGAATACTAGTCCTTGTTGTTATGTGCCCTCAAGTCACTTGCCACTCAACAGCTCTGAAGCCTGCTCTATCCTGTACCAACTCTGACACACCTACCCTAATTACCCCAGTCATTGTAGCTGATGTTAGATGGATCTTGGCTGAAAGCAGGGAATACCAGAGGAATGTCTATCTGTGTTTCATTGACTATGCAAAGGCATTTGACTG